GCAAGGATTACTGTGAGGGACATCTTTTTTTCCCCTTGATTTTAGAGAGAAAGCATGTAATTTTTCATAATTATATATGATATTAGCTGTAAGATTTTTGTAGATATTCTTTATCAAGAATAGAAAGTTCCCCTCTGTTCATAATTTGCTGATAGTTTTCCTTATTTTCACCATAAATATTCAATCAACATTAATACAAAATGCTCCACTATCACGAGATGGTCATCACCTTGCCAAGGGAACTCTTGCCTGCTCAGAGAAATAAGCCTGCTAAGAATTTATAGTCAGAAATAACTACTGATGAACACAAGAAAAAGAGTCAGAAAAGATAGTTTCAAAGGGAGCCTGAAGTGCCTGATAGATTCAGCTCTCCCAGGTCCTGGAGCTGGACAATTAGAAAATGGCTCCTTTGGTTTATTTAAGGGGATACATCAAAGGCAGGGATCAGGTTTCAGGGGTGGAGTCTTGCTTCATGGTGACTTCATTCAGTAGTTTGATTGGCATCTTGGCAGATCACACCTGTCTCTGAGAGGCTGTGTGGCTTCAGCAGGTCACCCCATCTCTGGTGCTGTGTGAGACCAGGCAGAGCTGAACAGGGCTCACAATGTGTCTCGGCAGTCAGCCAGAGGAAATGTCCACTGGAAGTTCCCAGACACCAGATTCTCCTACTCACTAGGCTGAGATGTGGACGTAGTCCACACACAACCCACCGATGGCTCTCGACACTCCACAACAGTGTCTTTCAAATTTGATGCAAATCTTCTGTTTCATTATTTCTCAGATAACATGCCCCATCACCTGGATCACTATAATCACAGTCTAAAATAAGAATCATATTTTTGACTATTAAATATACTCTCATTGATTATTGTTCCAAAGCTCCCTTACCTACCAGATCAATAATGCTCATTGTTTCATGGGTAAGTAGAATCCAGGCTAAAACAAAAAAAGTTGTCCTAAACTTTGAGTTTATAATTATAAGGGCTACAGGAAGTCTTCAGCAAATAATCAAAAGGAAAGTGTTTTTCTTCACTGAAAGATAAAATGATTTTTAAAAGAAATTGCAAAATCGGATTTAATATACCTAGAACCAAGCGTGGATGACTGTAAACCAGAGTTTAAATGTAGAAAACAATGAGTGGATATTCTATATGATACAGAGGAAATTTACACCCCACAGGAAAAGAAGGCCAATCAGTGCTAGGAGTAATGACCTGGAGTAAATGGCCTAAAAGCAGACATGAATGTCCTATTTCAACCCCACGTGGAGTTGTTTCTTAGTGTAGAAAAGAAATGAGAGGTAGTAGAAACACCCATATATTTTAGTAGAGAATCTCCAATAAAAGGGCTGAAAGCATCACCCCAGAAATTTACGAATTTCTCTTAAACTATCCTGATGTTCAGCCTAGTACCAGAGCACCATGGAGCTGCTCATAAGATGGATTTGAAATGTCTGAGGAAGGAATTTGAGAAGATGACACTGATAATAGCTTTCTAGATTCTCCACAGCTCATACAAAGACCAGGAGATCCAAGTGTTATCTTGTGCTTTTGTAGCAGACACAATGACTGAGAAGACTAACGCCTAGGAGAGGATTGTACTTGTGACAACTTGGCCACTGAGTTGGGACTCTTGAAACCAGAGGCTACATTGGAGTCTCAAGAGCCTTGTGGCCCCGAATGTTAAGACAACAGCATCAGCCTCATTTGAACTTGCACACTGCTGTAGTTTGGATATGGCTTGAGTATGTCCTCCAAAGGTTTGTTTGTTGGAAGCTTAGTCATTTTCCCTTTCAGACTACAAATTTCCTAAGGATGGGGAGAGGGTGGGATGCCTTACTATGTTTACTATAGCATTTCTACCTCCCAGTAGATACTCTATAAATGCTTATTGGCTCTTAAAAAATTCTTTTGTTTGCTAATATTTAAGCTCATAACTTGTTCCTATCATGTCTTCCTCTTTCTTCTTTGAAAAAGTGGAGTTATTCTTTCTGAAATTCATAATTCCAAGAAACTTCTCCCAATTTTCCTATTCCACTCAATTCAACTGCCTCCCCTCATCCTTCAAACAAGCAGTTGAACCAAATTTGAATGGGATTACAGATTCGCCAGTATTCTCTTTCTAGTACATATTTGCTTCCTCCAACAGCACCTCAAGGAATGATATTATTAACCTTGCATTAAGTGAAATTAGTGATAAGAATGAAAATTAGATTTAACATAACTAAATTTTAAAACAATAAACATTTCTAGTTCCCTTCATTCCATCTGTCCTTTTCTCATTTAAAAATATCTTATTTACACCTAATCCAAATATCAACTAGTTAAAAGGAAGTAAGTGGGAACTAAAATATGTGAGTTCTGAATGCAGAAGTGTTCTTCACTTCCCTGTTAATAATTAGCAACAAATACCTAACTGAACAAAGCCACTATGGAATACATGCCCACACCACTGCAGGCTAATATAACATCTAATGCCAATTTCTCTCTCTTTGGCTCCTTTGCAGAAGGATAAGTCCTAGTTACCATTACCCAATTGATATTTTAACTTCTTTTTCGCTCAATATTTGTTGAGCACTTACAAAATATCAGGTCTTACAGTAGGATCTGTGATATTTTAATGAACAAGACAAACAAGACTCTTTCATCCTACTAATACACATTTTGCACAATAGAGTTCTGTTAATGCAACTCATCAGCCTTCTCTTTCTCAAGATGAATCAATCACTCAATGATTTTTCCTTTCTTAAAGCATATTTGCTCCTGAGTGGAGAAAGTCTCTGCTGCTCTCCTGGAGGGCCCCCCGTATTTTCTTCAAATATTTTTTTCATATTTTTTGATCTTTAAAGATCAAAACTAACACATAAACTCCAGTCTATAATAACAACAAAATGTAGGATCATTTTCCAGGAAATTCCAACAAAATAATTTATCTTGCATATGGCTATGTATACAGCACAATTCTATTAAAATAAGTTTCTTTTAAAAATGTTTGCTTAAATGAAACACAGTTTATAATTCTTGACATAAAACTAAGTAAGATTTTCACTGAATTTTATACTTCTCATCCTACTGGCCTAACAACGTGTATACCTAACTCATCATCCATAAAAGAAAACAGAATTCTGGGATGGCCTACATCACAAGAGCTAGAGAAAGAAACAGAAGAAAGCTGGGAGAATTGAATCAGTTAACAGCTAAGGGCCAAAACAAAAGACCTTTTCACATTTCTGGATGGATAGTAAAACTTTAATTTGAATTCCAGCATTACCCCTGGGTACCACACAACTCAACCCATCCAAAAGCAGCAGGCACTTCACCTTCCCCTATGAACTGTCCTATCCCAAAGCTTTCTTCGCATTATCCTGCCCACCTTTTTCCACAGCTAATATAGGTTCAATGTACAACTTGTGCTTTCCTTCCTCAAATTTTTGATATGGAAATATTAAGCTCCAAGTCCAACAGACATTCTTCCGACTGCTCTCTAACTTTGTTCCTAGAAGTTGAGGGGATTTATGCCATGACCTGTCCTTTAGTGGGCTAATACCTATAACAGTTCAAGAAACCCTTTTACTTCAGTTTCCTCAGTCTCAAGAGTTTTTTTGTATATGTGTGTGTGTGTGTGTGTATGCAAGCACACACAGCTTTCATATTTCAACTCCTTACAAATATTAGTTTCCTTTCATCTTAAATTTATTTACATGTGTATTTTGAGTGAAGAGGATAAATTAGATAAACTGCAATGACAGAATATTTCCTAATTTCTATAAACTAAACTCTTGTCCATGAATAAGCATCCTGTTTGTGTGGGGTGTGTCTGTTGTATCATGTTGGTGCACTGATCACACTGAGCTTATTTTTCCTACAACTCCTACATCTTTTTTTTCTCTCCCTTTGTACTCATGCTTAGCAAGTTCCACCCATGTTGTTTTGAGTCTTGGGGGTTTTTTCTTTAAATTAACAACCTTACAATTGTCCCTTGTGAACTGCTTGCTGTTTGTTGCTAACTTGAATCTCTACTACATCAAAATGTATTAGAGTGATTTACTCCTACAGAATAAGAATTTTATGGTAACAGAAATAGAAACATTTGTTATAAGATCAGCATCAATTGATTTAAATGTGTGTTTGCCTGTAAGAAATGTTTTCAAATGTACAATGGCAAACACATTGGAACTAGTAATGCTTTCATTAAATTCAATTTATTACAATAAGCATTTTTGAGTAGCAACCAGGACTGAGGCACTGTTAGATTTTTCAAGTATAGTGATAGGAGTTTGCATTATCATATACCTTTGAATGCATCTTAAATCCCTGTGGAGAACATAAGCATGCTTTACCATCGCCTCTAAACATACGAAAATAGAGTAATTAAGAGGATTGTTATCATTCTATTTTCAACAGCAATGCCATTCCAGAGTCTAGTGATTCCTGGTCAGATACAGCAAAAGTGAAAAATGATATTTCCTCATTGTTATGCATGCATGTCTAGAGCAGGCTGTACCTTGCTCTTAGTTACTCTATTTTGTCCCTGAGTTATTGCACTTTACTTGCCCTAAACTACACCATTTTGAGTACACGTGTCCAGGGTAGAATGACTCTGTACCTTGTTGCATATAAATAACCACCATCTGTCCAGTAAAAGCCTACACTACAGAACCATAAGTAAATTATTTGAGCTAATAAAAAATTACCACCTGTGAACTTATCAAATCAAATCAGGGGCACACCAACATATGGGCTTATTGGATCACATCAGAGCCACCAGACACATGGATTTACCAAACACACCAGGCTAATGAATGATGCAATCACATCCATCTAAGAGGTACAAAAGAAGGAACACTGAAGCACATCATAGAGACCACCCAGTGTACATGTCATGAGATCACCAGGCAAGGAACTTCAGACTTTGTCCCAAGCTTCAGCTCAACATGACCCCCGCCCCCATTTGATGCTAATGAGTGATGTCCAGAGATACCTTCAGACTCTTTGCCTCACAACGGTCACCAGTTTGTTGTGGATTCAAAGTTTCTTCCATAGTTAAATTACAGTGTTTCCAATGGTGGAAATCCAGGCACTAAAAGGAGCAGTAAGAATTCATTGTTGAACTGGGATTTTTCTAGAGCCTTGATTTGGAAAAAGCAGTTTGTGGTTGGACATCAGCAGCAAAGGCTGAAAGCTTGTTATAAATGTAGACATTCAGCTCCCATCTCAGTCTTTCAAAATCAGAGTCTGCTTTCTAACACAACTCCCAGGTAATTTGTATGCAAACTATATTTCAGAAGCACTGTCCAGAGAGTCAGAATCTCTCTATTATTATACCAGGCATGTGACTGTCTCCCTACTTATTAAAAATGACAGTCAAGAGGGATCACCACCATATAACATCCAATTTCCAAAATATCTGTAGGTAAAATGAAAAACCAAAACCCTCAGAAAGTGGTGTTTTTGTGTCTATTGCTGGCAAATGTCTTAAACATGTGCTGAGAAAAATAAGAGCAGATGCTTACTGTGCCATCACATCGACCATCCTTAATCCTCAGATACATCCGTGCATTTTTCACACTTTCAAACATGCAAATCCCAGAGCTGATTTTATGCACTTTCCAGTAGGATTTTTCAGACTGGTTTCCTGCTCCAGTGCAGGTCCCATCAGGTTGGAGACACAAGGCCTGGCACAGGCTTGTAGCAAGGAGAACCACAGCACTGTTGAGGAACACCCCCTTCAGAGCAACAAACAACAGAAAGGCAGTAAATTACAGGCTCAAATTGCACTGGAGAGATGGCTATGGAATCAATTCTCTCACAGAGGCTGCAGTGATCAGGATGTTACCAGAAGCTAAGTAGCTGAGAATGAGCAAAAGAAATAATGTAACTGCGAAAAAGCTAAACAAAACAAAAGGAGGTCAATTTACTTCAACCATTTTTGCAAGTTGAAGGCTGAGCATCAGATTTACAGAGATCTTTTTTAACAGGTAAAAACACACACATGCAAATATTTCTCTTAAGGAACTCACAGCATAGGAAACAAGTTCACCTGCACAAACCCAAAGAATGGACTGTGATAAATAAAATAGTGCAAAAAAAATGAGACTTTTACTGATGGTCTTGCAAGATCAGGTGTCTGGATGAGCAGGAGCACCCAGAGTGATTATAATTAGCATTTTATTCCCTAGTGTGCAAGGCTTCTCTCTCCCCAGGATCCTCATTGGTTGAGTATTATGAGGTGTAGTCTTTCCAAAGGTTGCCTAGGATTTATTGTCTCCTATTGGGTTATTTAAAGAAATGTACCTTTAGTTGCCCTAACTCCCTTTGTTCTCTTGTGGCTGGAAGGTCTTCTTGGGAGAAGTATACTTGTGCTATTTATCTTTGTTGGTCAGGTCAGCCCTTTTTCCCCTCAGCTCCTGTTTGTTAAGGAGCTGTGAATCTGTCACTCGTGTATTAACTGCTAGTAACCATTTGTTCTATTTCCCCATTGGCTGTTTTCTTTCAACATCCTCAGTAATTTTACATTCCAAGCTAAATACTATATTTTGAAAATGGATCATCAGACTTTTTATTTCTCACAATAGTCACCATAATTTTAATATTACATCAATATTATTTTTATTAACACTGTATTAATGTAGAATAAAAAGACTATGCTATAAGAGTACCTGAATTATGGAATGCATTCTATGAATGGTAGTATGTATATAAGAATGCATGAAAAGAGACAGCAAACACAAATAAGGTATATTTCAGTCGATGCTATGCAATCATTAACTGAGGAGGAAGATATTAAAAGCTCTTGAAAGTTAACTAGAAATACACTAATTCTGTAGAGAAATGGTAAAAGACAAATCATAAGATGCAAATAAAAATAAACAAGGAAAAGTAATTCATCCTTATAAATTTTTTAAAAGCTAACATTAAATGTTTATTCCTCTAGCAAATTGTCAAAGATTTTTCTCTTTTGGAACCATACTCAACACAGAGGTCAATGAGATAGGTATTTGCCTATACTTCTGAAGGGAGTTGGGTAGTAAGAAGTGTAATTTGTCAGCTCTTGGAGTGTCAAGCCTGATGGGAGTGCTTTATTTGCCTTAGGGCCATGGTCCAGACATTTAGGGTGTAGAACTTTGGGTCACAAGGTATCAAGTGACTTTTAAGAGGCTGGAGACTGAGGTCAGCCACCAGTCACAGAACTTCCTACATGATAAAACTCTAGTAAAGACTCTGGACACCATGGTTCAAGTGAGCTTCCCTGGACACACAATTCTTTCTGTGTGTCATCACCTCAGTGTTGAGGAAGTAACTCTGACCTGACTCCATGGGGAAAGGACAACTAAAAGTTCCACTTTGCTGCTCTTTCTAGGCTCTGAACTATGAATCTCCTTATTTGGCAGATTTTAATCTATATCCTTCACTGTAATCAACTGTAACTGTGTGTTTAATCACTTTCAATGATGCTCTGGTTCCTTCCAGTGATTAATTAATTATAGTGGTCTCAGGGAACCCCACACATTGAGGCTGGCGTCAGAGGCAGGTGGTTGTATAGACCCTCTAACTTCATAGCTGGCATAACTTTCACAAGAGTAAGATACACACATTTCTGGGGGGGGGGGGAAGATTGAATATTATGTTCCCAGCAGCTTAAAAGTTTCATAGTCAAAACTTTAAATTCAATATTTAATTTTGTAAGCTAAGAAAATAAAAAATATGGTCAAAGGCATATGTCAAAGTATATATTAAAATATCTCCTGTAAGAGTGAAATGAAATATTAAATGTCTAATAATTTTAAAAGATGGATACATTTACAAAATCCTTATGTGTAAATATTATTAAATAATATGCTCTGAGTTAAAATTATGATGTTTTAAGAAAAATAATAATGAGAGGTTATATAAAATATTTTAATGGCAAATACAGTTTGGTTTGTCATAATCCACCATTTACTAATTATACTATATAAGCCAAGACTCTTATTATCCCTGAAATTCTTTACCTTTACCTTAAAATACAGATAATAGTATCTTCAATGTCTTTAGGATGATTAAGTGTAGTCTTGTTTGTGGTGCAACACTATTAAAGTTCTAGTAAAATAAGCAGTCTCATAAATTATAAGTAGTGTATTAATATGAAATCTTATTTTTTAAATAAATTTATAAACACTGTAAAGAGACATAAACAGTAGGAAATTACCACATATGCATAATAATCAAAGTGTATTAATCCTAACAATCAGAAAAGTTTAATATATACATTTCTTGACAACCAGATGCAAGATTTTCTAACTTTTTATTAATAATCTCCACGTCCATAGTTTTAACCTCCAACATCAGCTGGACATAGGATGTTACTACCATCCCAGTTTCATTGCACCTGACGCCATGATCACTATTTGCTTTTCGAAATCTGGGTAAACAGACTGGATATAGGCATCAATGCCACCTAGTGGAAAGAGACTTCATTACTGCGGTTATGACTCAATTCTCAAATTTTTTATTCAATAAAGACAAGAAAGTAGGTACTTAGCCATATAAAGTTTGATGACTTTCTTCCATTTTACCTTGACAAAAATCACAAATTCTTTTGAAAGGTTTGCATAGCCTCCTGAGGACTCATCAGCTATTTTTCCATGACGATCAAAAATCACCATGTGGCCAGGAACCGCTGCCGATGTAAGAAGTGAGCAGCGGCTGGACTGATAAAGCACCCGCAGCTCACTGGAGGCTCCACCACAAGCCTAAAAGAAGATGGGAAAAAAATTAAAACCCGGCTCTGAATTAGCAAGAGACAATTAAATTTAAAATGTCTTGATATTACATGTACATACAGATCTACTTCATGCTAAGCAGTCCTTGTTCTATTTATAGAGTGTCATGCTTTTACAATTTAATTACTTTTATTCCTTGGTTTTATTGGCCTGATTGTCAGTGACTTCCTCCAAAAATTTCTTCTCTTGATTTCTCAGGACCCGAGGCAGATGTTGTATAACAATAAAAAATAAGACTAGGAGCAGGAATGAGTTAATGAGACGTTAATGTGTATTTGACCATTGTTTAGTTTTCATTTAATCATTTGAGTTTTCCTAACTCAAGACTATTTGGAACCAAAACCTGAAAGAAACAAAAGTCTTACCTCATTTCCAGATTTTGCTTTCAAAACAGTAGATAAACTGAGGGGGTTATGTAACAGGGCATTCAGGATTCAGGGCCTCTCCCTACAGTGTCCCAAGATGCTAGGGACAACCTCAGCAAAGTTTAATCCTGCATATGGCAGGGGAGTGACAGAGCTGTTTATCTTTTTTTATTAATATATCTTTTATTTGTTCTTATTAGTAGAGCTGTTTACCTTTAAGAAAATATGTGATGGTTTATGAGTATATCATAGTGACCAGCATATAACTTTCATAATAACTAAGAGAGAATCTCCCACCAACCTAGTGCAACCTAGTGGGATAGAGGCTTCGATTTAACTTTATTTTAGAAAATTATAATAATGGAACACTTCTTCAAATCTCAATTCAACTGTATAGATTCCAAATCTATTACTTTCATATTTATTAAGCATTTACTATGGCCTTTGTAATAGGACATATGTACTATGAAGTACAATATAAGATACTATGCTAAGTCCAAAGCAGAGGAGTAATTCCTTTATGGAGAACATCTGAATGATCAATGCCAGTCTAAACTGCAGAGCTACAAATTACATTAGTATCTTCCCTTAAATTAAATAACATGTTATGAGCTCAAATCATTATGTTAAATTGTATAACCTTATGTGAGGAAGTTGTAGCTTGAGTCAGATGGTCTGTGTTCAATTCCTGCAGCCACCCTTATTATCTTGTGAGCAACTCAATCTTTCTATATATCATGTGCTGCTTCTGTTAAACAGTGATAAGAGTGGATTCCCTCATGGGGCAGATTTTAGGTTTAAATGTTATAATACATAATAAGAATTAGAAGAGCGCATTTCAATTATCCTCCAGTTTCATTTTTCAAGATAAATAATAAGCATTCATTTTAAAGACAATTTTATATATTAAAAGCTACATTTCATACTAGACTAAGCAATACAAATCATAACTAGGCAAGATTATTTCTTTCTTTCCTGATAATATGTTCCCTAAAGGGGCCGTTGAGAAGTCAGAAGTCCTTTGGAAAGCTCATTAAAAGTTTCAATGTTACTAGAGAATCGGTATACTTCCTCTAGTTTAAATTTCATTTGCTAGAAAGTAGGATCATTTATGCACCAGAATCTCAAAAATAAATGAAACGAAAGACAGAAAATTGTAAAGAGCACAAGTATCAGCCAAAGTAAAATATAGTTTGATGACTGTATAAAAGTATTGTATAGAAAAATATATCCTATGCAGATACAATTCTATTTATATATGTCAAAGAGAAAAGTTACTACTCACCACTCCAGTGACAAAGCCATTGTCAATACCAAGAGAAAGATGCCTCATCTCATGACTCTGGAAAATGCATATATTTCCTTTATTGAAAATAACATCAAAGAGTCCTAGAAAACATTTAAAAATGTTAGCACATAATCGAATTCTCCTAACAATACATTTTATATCTTTCAATAAAATATGTGTAATTAGGGGGCTGGGGATGTGGCTCAAGTGGTAGCGCGCTCCCCTGGCATGTGTGCGGCCCGGGTTCGATCCTCAGCACCAGATACAAACAAAGATATTGTGTCCGCCAAAAACTAAAAAAAATAAATATTAAAAAAATTCTCTCTCTCTCTCTCTTTCTCTCTTAAAAATATATATTTGTAATTAGTCAAAGGTAAAATGCCTCTGGTACAGTATGTTTCGTTTGTGAAAATTCATAATACAATATATTACTTTTTCTGCATAGGCATATTTGCATCATTCCTTGAGCCAGGATTTATTGCATTTCCTAACGAGTTGCTGAAGTTTGTGTTGTATGTGTGTGTATACACACTAAATATACACACGTGTATTTATATAAAATACATAATATGAAATATGTAACATACATTATATAGTGTCTGTTGAATGATGTCATTTTGGTTTTCTAAAATGAACCTATTTTTCCTTTCTTACCACTGTCAACATAGCCCATTTAGTATTAACTCAAAATTGCAAGCTAATCAATATCAAGTGGAGGAGGATTATGGGGGTTATTCACTAATTTAGGCTCCCCAAATCCCAATTTCTAATATAGAATTATGCATATGTTTTCATATATATATGCATATATATATATTTATACACACATACACATACATATATATATAAACATGCATATATAAAATTAGGTGGCTTATATATATACATATATTCATATATATAGGTATATGTATATACATATATATTCATCTAGTATTAAGAAATGTAATGAATAAATTCTACCTTTATATTTTTATTCCAGTTAATTACATGGGCAAACACTTTTAAGAGCAAAGTCTGATGCAGAGGGTGACTACAGAATTCCAGATTTTAAAAAGATTCCACTACATATTTAAATAATCTTCTACTCTTTTAACGTCATATTTCTAAAAGTGAAAGGTTTGAAGATTAGTTCAACATATTACTCCAAATGGAAAACTTTCGGCCTAATTAATCTCTAATTTATTTTTGACTACCTAATAAAATGCATCTTAATGGTTAAGAATTAAGGACCTTTATAAAACTAAACAGTGGTGATAAGTAATTATAGATAATGCTGGGGGGTCAGGGTGTTATTGAAATGAGCAGAAAACTAAGAGGCAAAAATTAGGACTTTGAGTATGACACTGACTCATTAAATAACCTTGGGCAAATCGCTTTGTATCTCTGTCTTCATTTTCTCATTAATAAAATCAGAGCAGTAATTCCCGAAGGAATGTTATTCGGATGATGCTCTAATCATGTTAACTGATGAGTTGATGGAAATATTTGAAAACTAAGGAACTATTACTACAAATGTGCTAACTATAATTTTCACGATTTAATTCAATTGTCAATTTGACCTAATGATTTTATAAATACCAGAATATAAATCCATAAAAACTCTAAAGGCATTATTTTTATCTGTTTCTAAAAATTATTACCATTATTTTATTTATTTTTGTGTTGTAACAGTTTTATTTAGACATATTTTACATATGGTACAATTTACCCATTAATCCAATGATGCTTAGTATTGCAGCCTGGGGATATAGCTCAGGGGTAGAGCACTTGTCTACACATGCAAAGATCTGGCTTTGATTCTCAGCATTAAAAAAAAAATTGCAGATATGGCAACACACACCTGTAATCCCAGCAGCTGGGGAGGCTGAGGTAGGAGAATTTTGAGAATCAGCAAAAGCAAGACACTAAGTAACTCAGTGAGACCCTGTCTCTAAATAAAATACAAAATAGGGCTGGGAATGTGGCTCAGTGGTTGAATGCCTCTGAGTTCAATCCCCAGTACAACAAACACACACACAATGTTCACAATGCTGTGCAGTCATTTCCACAACCAATTTTAGAACATTTTCATCTCAGAAAGAAACTCAGCATCTTTAGCAGTCACTCCAATTTGTCTTCCCTGTTTTTCCCCTCCAATCCTTTCTCCTCAAACCCTACTATCACCAGGCAATTACTCACCTGCTGTCTCCATAGACTTGCCTATTCTAGACATATTATTTTTCCTCCTAACTGTTATTGTGTATCTTTGACAATCTCTCTCTATCCTTCACTCCTCTCTAATCATCCCAGCCTCTGATAACCACCATTCTAATCTGTCCTTGTCTCTCTAAGGGATTAGCTCTTTTAAACTCCACCTTAGTCTTTCTGTTCCAGGTTTATTTCACTGAACATAATGTTCTACAGGTACTATTTTTAATATCCTGAAGAACCTCAATGCTTTTTTTCTTGGTGCTGAACTAGTTTACATTCCCAACAGTGAATAAGGGTTCCCTTTTCTCCACATCTTTACCAACACTTGTCCTTTTGTCTATATAATAATAGCCATTTTGCATTTATCTGATTAGTAATATTGAGTGTCCTTTTGTAAGCCTGTTGGCCATTAGCATGTCTTCATTAGAGTGGTGTCTATTCATGACTCTTGAACACCTATTTATATTTGTTTTTCTTATCTTGTTATTGAGTTCCCTCAATGTTTTGCATATTAGCTCTTTATCAGATATGTAGCTTGCAAATATTTTCTCCCATTCTGTAGGTTGTCTCTTTGTTTTCTTTGCTATGCAGGAGCCTTATAGTTTGATGTAATCTTGTATATTTTTTATTTTTGTCTTTGTTTTCGAGGTCATATTCAAAAATATCATTGCCCAGACCAGGGCCTCAGAGACTTTCAGATGCACGTTGTTTAATTTCTGTGTATTTGTAAAGTTCCTGAAGTTCTCCCGTTTTATTTTTATACCATAATACTCAGAAAAGATACTTGAATTGATTTTTAACTTCTCAAATTTGTTAAGATTTCTTTTGTGGACCCACATATATCCTAGAAACTGTGCAATAAAAAAGAATTTGTATTCTGCAGCTGTTGGATAGAATGCTCTATAAATGTCTGTTAGGCCCATTTGGTCTAGAATTCAATTTAAATCTGGAGTGTCTTGGTTGGCTTTCTGTCTCAATGATCTGAGCATTGCTTTCATGGGATGTTGAAGCCCACTATTATTACTGTATTGTAATTTATCTCTCCCTTAGAACTAATAATATTTGCTTTATATATTTGGGACCTCCCGTTTTGGATACATATAATCATGTGTCACATATCCACAGGGATACATTCCTCAAAAATGTGTTCTTAGGTGATACTGTCATTGAACAAACAAGAAAATACAATTCTATAAATCCAGATGGTCTAGGTCAATTGCTCAACATGAGCTCTTGATGCAATCAATAAATATAATAAAACTAGATGTATGACTAGTACCAGCATAACAGCATTCAGCTTTATAGTAAAATCGTTTTTATATAAGCACAAGGAATACATTCTAAAATAAGAATAGAAGTATAGAAAATACATAAACTAGTAACATGAACAAGGATTATGTACCATACATAATTGGATCTGTTTTTATATGACTAGTAACATAGTAGATTTGTTTGCAGTAACACCACAAACACATAAATTAGGCATTGTGCAAAGATGTTACCAGAGTTCTAGTAGCTACAAGATTAGTAAGAGATAAGAAGTTTTCAGCTTTATTATAATATTCAGGGACTACCACTGTATATGTTACCTGACATTTACCAAAATGTCACTATGTGGGACATGCCTGTATTTACAATTGTTATCTCCTTGTTGAATTAACCCTTTTATTGTCATATAATGACTCTAAAGTTTTTGTACTTTAAATTTAATTTATCAGATGTAAGTATCACTACTACTGTGCACTTTTGGTTTCCATTTACACAGAATCTCTTATTTTGTCTCTTCATTTTCAGTATGTGTATTCTTACAGGTAAAATGAGTCTTCTGTAGGTAGCAAAGAGTTGGATATTATTTGTTTTTGTTTTTTTCATTCAGCCACTCTGTGTGCATTATGCTGTCGATCTGAAATGTCCCCAAAAGTTCATGTGTTGGAAGGGTTGTCCCCAGTATGGCAAGGGTTAAAGATGAGACATTTAGGCAACGATTAGGGTGCTGACCTCATTAATGGATAATCCATTTGCTGGATTAACTGGATGGGCTGAATGAACGATTGGCCAGTGGTACTTAAATGGAGGTCATTAAGTATTACTAGTTGGAGATTTATTTCTCTCCCTCCACCATCCACCTGCCTGCCCTTCCCTGTTTCATGAGCAGAACAGCTGTCCTCTGCCATGCCCTTCCACCATGTTGTTCCTGCCTTGGAGCCAGCTGACCATGAACTGAACTCTCTGAAACCTTGACTACTGTTGAGGGAAAAAAAAATTAAGCATCTCTATTTTGAGAAATTCAACACAGTAGAGAATGTCCTTGCCTGTGGAAGCTTAAAATAGTGACTCTTAATTAAAAATACATATTAGGAATAGAATCTTTTCCAGTAAAATTATAATCAAGTCAGTGTGATAGATGAGAGCTTCAGGAAATTAAAGTATTTTCAATAGAGAAAAAAAATACACTATTTTTGAGAAATTCTACAACAGTTATCTGAGCCTCTGGAATTCCATGGAGTACAAGAAAAAAGTATGATAAGGGAAAAAGCACTCCTACTTGAATGAAACAATTGAAATGAAGCTGAAAACATCTGAACAATCAGCAGCCACAGAAATGAAGATTATATAAACTTAAGCAGATACTCCTAAAAATACAGCTACCATTGACCCCTCTATGGGAAGTGAGTGAACCTTCTGTACCTTTCCCTCAAGTTCTAAGTAAGCCTCCCCCACTTTTTTGGTTATGTCAAACAAAAAGAGAAAGAAAAAAGTTCTTTTGTTCTCTACTCTTCTTCTATATGCTTCAAGTCTGACTTCCACTTACTGCCAGTGTTTCTACTCTACTTCAAATCCCTCCAAAGCTATCTCCCATCACCAGGAGGGAATAAGGGAAGTGACTTGTAGACATAGGGCTGGCTTT